GTCGGGGAACGCCCTCACTGCAAGAGCTTCCTTGGAACTCAAATCAGCACCGGGAGACCGGTGCCAGAGGTGAACTTTGCACCGATGCTGCCAAGTCCAATTTCGGTGGCCTGTCCCTGGGCTAAATCCCAGAGGGGACTAGCTAATCTACAACACTAACACACTAACTGTTAAGAAACAAAAGAACTACTTATTTAACTATTTACAACACTAAGAGAAAACCACAGGGTAAGTAAGCGCTTGCTGAAGCAAGGAGACGTTCCAGTACCATCACTGGTGGTAAGAATGAACTTAGGGTGGGGAAAGCCAGCAGTTCACCTCATACAAGTACTGTAATACAATCTCTTTATCATGAAAGTTGAACTTACAAACGTAGAATTATGTACAAAAAAAACCTGTATTCAAAAATAAAAAAGTAAAACTTTAGAGACTAAAAGTCCACTCAGTCCTACTTCTTGTTCAGTTAGTCACTCAGATAAACAAGTTTGTTTACATTTGCAGGAGATAATGCTGCCCGCTTCTTGTTTACAATGTCATCTGAAAGTGAGAACAGGTGTTCACAAGGCACTGTTGTAGCCGGCATTGCAAGATATTTACTTGCCAGATGCGCTGAAGATTCATATGTCCCTTCATGCTTCAACCACCATTCCAAAGGACATGCGTCCATGTTAATGAGGGGTTCTGCTCAATAACAATCCAAAGCAATGCAGACCGATGCACATTCACTTTCATCATCTGAGTCAGATGCCATCAGCAGAAGATTGATTTTCTTTTTTGGTGGTTCGGGTTCTGTAGTTTCCACATCAGAGTGTTGCTCTTTTAAGACTTCTGAAAGCATGTTCCACACCTCGTTCCCCTCAGATTCTGGAAGGCACTTCAGAGTCTTAAACCTTGGGTCGAGTGCTGTGGCTATTTTTAGCAATCTCACATGGGTACCTTCACCTTCTTTGTCTTTTGTCAAATCTGCATTGAAAGTGTTCTTAAAATGAACAACATGTGTTGAGTCATCATCCAAGACTGCAATAACATGAAATATATAGCAGAATGCAGGTAAAAGAGCAGGAGACATACAATTCTCCCCCAAGAAGTTCAGTCACAAATTTAATTAACGCACTTATTTTTAAACGAGCGTCATCAGCATGGAAGCATGTTCTCTGTAATGGTGGCCGAAGCATGAAGGGGCATATGAATGTGTAGCATATCTGGCATGCAAATACCTTGCAACTCCGGCTACAAAAGTGCCATGTGAACGCCTGTTCTCACCTTCGGGTGTCATAGTAAATAAGAAGCAGTCAGCAGTATCTCCCATAAATGTAAACAAACTTGTTTGTCTTAACAATTGGCTGAACAAGAAGTAGGACTGAGTGGATTTCTAGGCTCTAAAGTTTTACATTGTTTTGTTTTTGAGTGCAGTCATGTAACAAAAAAAATCTACATTTGTAAGTTGCACGATAAAGAGACTATACTACAGTACTTGTATGAGGTGAATTGAAAAATACTATTTCTTGTTTATCATTTTTACAGTGCAAATATTTGTAATAAAAATAATATAAAGTGAGCACTGAACACTTTGTATTCTGTGTTGCAATTGAAATCAATGCATTTGAAAATGTAGAAAAATATCAAAAATATTTAATAAATTTCAATTGGCATTCTATTGTTTAACAGTACAATTAAAACTGCGATTAATCGTGATTAATTTTATAAATCACAGTTATTTTTTTAATTAATCATGTGAGTTAACTGCAATTAATCAATAACCCTAATATTAAGACAAATCTGAAAAATAAGCTAAATAAAAATTCTTGCCTTCAGGCACTAATCATCTTCTCTTGCTCCTACATCTAAATAGAAATATACTATAAAATCAAAGGCTAATACAGTAGAGTTAATGAGCTATTTTTGCATTTACTTACAAGTTTATAACACATCCACAAACATTCTATTTAGTCTCCACAAACACAATTAAGAAAAACATATCACCCAATAGGACTGCATTCATCCCTTCATTAATTTCACTTTAAGATTTTTTATCTTCAGTGGAAAATCACTAGCAATTCTGCCTTATTGCAAAATTATAGGGTGCTACATAAAACTCAAATACAGAAAGGCTCATTTTCACCTTTGAAGATAGGGAGTGAAACAGTAGAGAGCTAAGGGCCATAGAAATAAATGGCCAATCATCACAGACTATCTGGCTTGCCAACTCAGCGTACAGTGCCTTCATCTCAAGTTGGGCTACCTCAACAATAGCAACTCTGCTGATCTCAGCGGTTTAGGCGAGTTACAAGAAATGGGATTGTTTTTGATATAATTAAGTTTCGGCCCATTAAGGCCTTGAAAAATCAGCACAATTTTTTTTTAAACAGATCTACAAGTGGATGGGAAGACAGCGTACAATGTACCAGCACAAGGTACACTCAGTAACATGCATTACCTGACCAGTGAACTAGTACATGTTAAATTAGCTGGTTTCTGTGTAGCTTTAACAAAGAGTTACAGGTAGAACATATTCTAATAGCCCAACCGGGATGAAGGACAAAGACACAGATCACCATGTCTGCGTGTACATCAAGCAGGAAAGGGCACCATTCTAAATAGTAACTTTCTGATCATTGCTGCTATTCTGGTGTCTAGGGACAGTAATGTGTCCAGACAATTTAGAAACTGCATATTAACTTAAAAATCAGAGAGCAGTGGCTTTCAAAGGAAGATGAAGTCAGAGTTTCTGCCAGTTCCTCAAAGTACTTCCTTTATCCAGTCATGATTTCTGTCTTATACAGATTGAACTTGAGCCAGCTGCTTTTTATCCAGGTACTTAATTTATTCAGGCATTCAGACAGCTAAATTATGGTAACATCTGCATTACAGTCGAACGTTAACATACTGTTGCCACTGCAACCTGAGGCATCTCAAAATTTCACCCCATGTTCAACACTGGTGGGGAAAAGGATAAATATAGGGGGAAGGATATGTATGCAGTAGCATGCACGTCTGCAGTAGCATAAAATCCCTCCTTGGCAGAGGTACTGGATTGCCTTATCTGTGAGGGGTTACCCAGTTCAAATAACCTAGTTGGCACCTGACCAGAAGGACCAATGAGGAAAGAAGATACTTTCAAATCTGGGGGGGGAAGGATTTGTTTGTTGTTCTCTTTTGTTGTTCCCTCTCCGGACGGAGGGAGAAGCCAAACAGGTCCAATATCTCCTGAAAATATACCTGGAATAGAATAATCCATCTAAAACCACAGAAATTGTAGAGTAGGGCAAGGAAATGTGTTAGGTTATCTTTTGTTTGGCTTGTGAATTTTCCTGTAACTGTCCAGCTGAGCCCAGAGGGGAATCCTCTGTGTTTTAAATCTTTTTATTATCCTGTAAAGTTACCTTCCATCCTGATTTTGCAGGTGTGATTCCTTTATTTTATTTTATTTTTTTATGAATAAAGTTCTTCTTTTAAGAACCTGATTGATTTCAGTGTCCCGAAGACAAAAGGTCTGGTCTGTGCTCACACTACCATGGCAACTGGTTGGTATATTATTCTCAAGCCTCCCCAGGAAAGAGGGTTAAGGGGCTTGGGGGGATATTTTGGGGGAATAGGGATTCCAAGTGACCCTTCCCTGAATTTTTGTGTAAATCACTTGGTGGTGGCAGGAATACCATCCAAGGACAAGGAAAGGAATTTGTGCCTTGGGGAAGTTTTAACCTAAGCTGGTAGAATATAAGCGTAGGGGGTCTTTCATGCAGTCCCCACATCCGTAGCCCAGAGTTCAGAGTGTGTGGGGGGGGAGAACTCTGACAGCACTACAGGTGTAAATGAAGAGCCTAGCACCAGGAAGGACAAGGTGCACTGAGATTTTCTTAGTGAAAGATGCTTTGGCCTCCCACTATGCCATTAGCAGAGGCTGAATTTTCAATTCATGACTTCTTAGTAGTTGCCTTGGTGCCAAGTTTGTCGCAGACAAAGAAACAATAAATGGCATCAAAACAGGATGAGATGCCTTCTACTTCAATGGCTTTGTTGAGGGAACTCAGTTCCACGGAAAGATGAAGTCATTAAGTTAATCATCTCATTCCCATACTCTTGAGGTTCATGGAATTCATGAGCCTAAATATGATGGTGATGGGTACAAGAGTAACAAAGATTTATTTATTTTTCTATTTTCTTATAACTTTGGTGTACTGTGTGTTTGATTTTATGGTATATTTCTAATTATGATGACATGGAAGTAAGAACAGATGGTTAGTGGTTGAAGGAAAAAATTGTGTTGAACTGTAACTTCCTTATTTTCCGACTCTTGGCACAGTTAGTGCTCTATTCAGTCTTCCTTGGTGCCAAAGAATAGGAAAAAAAATATCCAGTATTCCAAAAACTCTCATTTGGAGAAAACGCTCACACATGAGCATAAGTCAATGGCTCAGATTCTCCACAGCTTACTTTATTAAAAACAATTGTTTATAAAATGACAATCAAAATAAATCTTCAAACTTAAAGGCCCAACAACAGATCCTCTTACATACTAAGAATTACTCAAACACTTTCTATTTTCTTATAACTTTGGTGTACTGTGTGTTTGATTTTATGGTATATTTCTAATTATGATGACATGGAAGTAAGAACAGATGGTTAGTGGTTGAAGGAAAAAATTGTGTTGAACTGTAACTTCCTTATTTTCCGACTCTTGACACAGTTAGTGCTCTATTCAGTCTTCCTTGGTGCCAAAGAATAGGAAAAAAAATATCCAGTATTCCAAAAACTCTCATTTGGAGAAAACGCTCACACATGAGCATAAGTCAATGGCTCAGATTCTCCACAGCTTACTTTATTAAAAACAATTGTTTATAAAATGACAATCAAAATAAATCTTCAAACTTAAAGGCCCAACAACAGATCCTCTTACATACTAAGAATTACTCAAACACTTGCCCTATCTATTAATGTCATCCATAAATCTATCAAAAGCATAGCCAAATTAATGTCTTATACCATGCCCTAAAACTGACCAACTTCTGTGTCTGGTGGCCGTGGACCACAGGAGGCAATATCCCCAAGATCATGAGCCACATACTGAAAAATCCCTTTTCTCAGCCCCAGGAAATCTAATTCAAGAACACAAGAATAAGTGACCCAACAAGTACTCAAATACTATGGAGATGGTTGCCTGTAACAGTTATGTCCCATCATGCCTGAGTTTGTGCCACATAAGATGCCACATAACTGTTTCAACTAGTCTCCCTCCTTATGGGGTCTAGTTTATTGGTATGGTTAAACAAAAACAATTCCCCCTTCATCCTTGGATCTGGGCTTCCCAGGTCTTTTCTGGCCTTTTGCCTGGAATTTATAATCATCCTTTTATCAGAGATTCTCACTAATCTTGCTTCTGGGCTCATGCTCCAGGCTACTTAGGCAGAGAGAGCTCTGCCAGTCTCCAACTCTGGATCCTTGGCTGCTACACTGCTCCCCAGGCAACTATCCTTCTGCCAATTTTTGTGGAGAACCTCATTCCAGGTCTTTCCCAGTCCCGAGTTTCTCCTAGACTGAACCAATAATTCTGCTTTAAATCCCCAATATCTAACATTTTCCTCAATCACATGCCCTTTTCCTTCATGTGCTTCATCTGGAGACTATCCATGCAAAACTCAGCCTTAAGGGGTTATGCCCTTCTCAAAGTTGTGTTGAGACAGCATTAGAGCCTGCAGGAGCAGTACCTTGTTACGTGCCAATACAAAAACCTACAATTTTAATGTCTAAAATGGATGATTTGGGCAACAGTTGATCTCACACATAGCTAGGTCCCATACCAATTACGACCTTATAGGCTCAACAACACTGAATTGCTCTCTGAAGCATATACGTAATCAGTACAGACCACAGGTGTCAATCACATGGCAGCTCACCTATGTGAGAGAAACCCCTGCATTCTGCACTAATTGATGGTGAGTGCTTTCCAAGGGAAGCTCCAAGTACAGTTCAGTTGTCTAACAATGAGGTTACATTTTCCTGGTTCAGTGTGGCAAGTTCAAAAGGTGAATTATATCTGGGGTTCTCAACCTTTTTCTTTCTGAGCCCTCGCGCCCCTCCCCACCCCAACCCCAATATGCTATAAAAACTCTATGGCCAACTGGTTTTCTGCATAAAAAAGCCATGGCTGGCATTAAGGGATAGCAAGCAGGACAATTGCCCAGGGCCCCATGCCACAGGAGGCACCACAAAGCTACGTTGCTGAGGCTTCAGCCCTGGGTGGTAGGTCTCGGGGCCCTGCAATATTCCTTGCAGTCCTGCATGGCAGGACTTTCGCTAGGGCCCTGGGCAGAAAGCCAGACTAATGCTGGCCATGCTTGGCGGACATCCTGAAACCTGCCTACGGCTCCCCGGGGGCCCCAGACCCTTGGTTGAGAACCACTGGATTATATAACTTAATGCCTGTGTGAATGGGACAGTAAATGAATATATCACATGGAACAATGATTGTAGATATGCGTCTGTTAGGATGCCACACTGACTGATAGTACTGGTCTTCTGTAATATCTCTATTAATGATCTGAAAGAGGAAGTAAACAGCAGTATCATATGCAAATACAACATGAAGGAAGTGCTGAGAACATCACTGAGGACAGAGAAATACAAAGTGACATTGGAAATATAGCCATGAAATAAAAAAAGATTCAATCTGGAAAATTACAAACAACATCTGAGGATTAATCCCAAATATAGACATTCAGTGGGAGGGAGAGACTTGGGAACAACTGCAGTCTGTCCAGCATAGGTGGAGCTGGTAACAATGTTTGCAATTAAGGGTGCCTTCCACCTTCCATTATAAATTCATAGAAGATTAGGATTGGAAGAGACCTCAGGAGGTCAGCTAGTCCAATCCCCGGCTCAAAGCAGGACCAACACCAACTAAATCATCCCAGGCAGGGCTTTGTCAAGCTGGGCCTTAAAAACCTCTAAGGATGGAGATTCCACCACCTTCCTAGGTAACCCATTCCAGTGTTTCACCACCCTCCTAGTGAAATAGTGTTTCCTAATATCCAACCTAGACCTCCCCCACTGCAACTTGAGACCATTGCTTCTTGTTCTGTCATCCGCCACCACTGAGAACATCCTCTTTGGAACCCCCCTTCAGATAATTGAAGGCTGCTATTAAATCCCCGATCACTCTTCTCTTCTGCAAACTAAACAAGCCCAGGTCCCTCAGCCTCTTGTCACAAGTCATGTGCCCCAGCACCCTGATCATTTTCATTGCCCTCTGCTGGATTCTCTCCAATTTGTCCACATCTTTTCTGTAGTGGCGGGCCCAAAACTGGACACAATACTCCAGGGGTGGCCTCACCAGTGCCGAACAGAGGCCTTGATCTGCTAGCAATGCTATTAATGCAGCCCAATATGCCGTTAGCCTTCTTGGCAACAAGGGCACACTGTTGACTCATATCCAGCTTCTTGTCCACTGCAATCCCCTGGTCCTTTTCTGCAGAATTGCTGATTAGCCAGTCGGTCCCCAGCCTGTAGTGGAGCATGGGATTCTTCCGTCCTAAGTGCAGGACTCTGCACTTGTCCTTGTTGAACCTCATCGGATTTCTTTTGGCCCAATCCTCCAATTGTCTAGGTCACTGTGGACCCTATCCCTACCCTCCAGTGTATCTACCTCTCCCCCCAGCTTAGTGTCATCTGTGAACTTGCTGAGGGTGCAATCCATCCCACCATCCAGATCATTAATGAAGATGTTGAACAAAACCAGCCCCAGGACTAACCCCTGGGGCACTCCGCTCGATACCGGCTGCCAATTAGACATCGAGCTGTTGATGGCTACCCGTTGAGTCAGACAATCTAGCCAGCTTTCTATCCACCTTATAGTCCATTCATCCAATCCATACTTTTTTAACTTGCTGGCAAGAATGCTGTGGGAGACCATATCAAAAGCTTTGCTGAAGTCAAGATGTATCACGTCCACTGCTTTCCCCATATCCACAGAGCCAGTTATCTCATCATTGAAGGCAATCAGGTTGGTCAGGCATGACTTGCCCTTGGTGAATCCATGGTGACTGTTCCTGATCACCTTCCTCGCCTCCAAGTGCTTCAAAATGGATTCCTTGAGGACCTGCTCCATGATTTTTCCAGGGACTGAGGTGAGGCTGACCGGTCTGTAGTTCCCCAGGTTCACCTCCTTCCCTTTTTTAAAGAAGGGCACTATATTTGCCTTTTTCCAATCATCCGGTACCTCCCCCCAATCACCATGAGTTTTCAAAGATAATGGCCAATGGCTCTGCAATCACATCAGCACTCTCGGATGCATTAGATCTGGACCCATAGACTTGTGCATGTCCAGCTTTTCTAAATAGTCCTTAACCTGTTCACCACTGAGGGCTGCTCACCTCCTTCCCATATTGTGTTGCCCAGGACAGCAGTGTGGGAGCTGACCTTGCCTGTGAAGACCGAGGCAAAAAAAGCATTGAGTATTTCAGCTTTTTCCACATCATCTGTCACTAGGTTGCCTCCCCCATTCAGTAAAGGGCCCACACTTTCCCTGACCTTCTTCTTGTTGCTAAGATACCTGTAGAAACCCTTCTTGTCACCCTTCATATCCCTTGCTAGCTGCAACTCCAGTTGTGTTTTGGCCTTCCTGATTACACCTCTGCATGCTCGAGCAATATTTTTATACTCTTCCTCCATCAGTCCAAGTTTCCACTTCGGGTAAGCTTCCTTTTTGTGTTTAAACTCACCGAAGATTTCATTGTTAAGCCAAGCTGGTCGCCTGCCATATTTGCTATTCTTTCTGCACATCGGGATGGTTTGTTCCTGCGCCCTCAATAAGGCTTCTGTAAAATACAGCCAGCTTTCCTGGATTCCTTTCCCCCTCATATTAGCCTCCCAGGGGATCCTGCCCATCAGATCCCTAAAGGAGTCAAAGTCTGCTTTTCTGAAGTCCAGGGTCGTATTTTGCTACTCTCCTTGCTTCCTTTTGTGAGGATCTTAAACTCAACCATCTCATGGTCGCTGCTGCTCACATTGCCACCCACTTCTACTTCCCCTATCAATTCATCCCTGCTTGTAAGCAGCAGGTCATGTTCCTTTTCAGTTGCCTACAGCTTTGCCAAACTTTAACCATTTGAACTTGAATTTTCCATGCTTGTTTTCTGTACAATGCTGAATTTTCTTGGAAAGTTTCAGCAAAAATGGTTCAGGCATTTCTGAGAACCGGATTAGGGAAGAATAGATAGCTTTACCAATATTATTTCTCCTCCCACCCCCAAAATGTTTCTTTGAAAGGATTTGATGCTTCAATGTTTTGGAGCAGGAAATCAACCCATATTTGGCTATACTATAAGACACTGAAAAATGCCATCTGTACATCCTCAGTAGAGCCTGTGAGAGTCGCTGCTAAAAATCACTGAACATTTCACTTACAACAAGGAAGCTCTCAGCCCCATGGAGCTTTGGCATGCTTCAGGACAACAACAAGCGTAGCGGTAGCAGAATAGCCTTTCATCTAGTAAAAGGAGCACTGGGTTGAGACTCAAAAGAACATTAGCTCTTGTCTCAGCTCTTTCACTAACTGGTGTTAATTCTGTGCACTATTATTGAAAAAAAGCCTCATTCCCGCACCTTAAGAGACAGGTAAGCACCGTTACCACCATTTTACAGATGTGATAACAGACTTTGAACAAGGTCACTTCTTGGAGAGCTAAGGATAGAACACAGGTTTCTAACATGGTGCAGTCAAATCTCGCCTAGTCAGCCACACTGTCTTTCAGAGTGAATGTGTCAAATCTATGTGCTGTCTGCAACCACTAGACCACACTTGACTTCCAGTATTAAAACCCAGGAATCCTGATTCTTAACTTTCTTCTGCTGTCAAGCAAAAAGTTGTATAAATCACTGGCAACATGTACTGTAACATCACTGAGGTGGCTAGTCCATGTAAAAAATAACTTACTATTGCTTCCAGCTACTTCTTTAGCTCAAGTGTAGAGTTCTCTGCTGTGGACCAAAAAGCCCTGGTTTCAATTCCTGCTGAATCTTATTCAGTTTGCTTTTTAAAATCTTATTTCTGTGAGACAGTTCCATGAATCCTTTAAGATTACTACCACAGAAAAAATGTTTTTCTTCTTTGTTCACTTTGCTCTTTGGATACACTTTGTGTATAGTCAATTTCAGTATTTCTCCTGTATAGTTATTTTCCATTTATGCAGACAGCAAGAGAGAAGAAACTATTTTGGGGGTGGGGGGGAAGAGAATAGGAAAAAAGACTATACAACCACAATAACTGGCAAGGGGACTCATGTGTATGAATAAGTCCCTAAAACTCCCTTTTTGAAACTGAATACATTTAAAGTTGATGGTGTACTTTTAGAGCTGGAATGACAGATTTAGCATGAAACATTAAAAATAAATGTTTAGTTTGGCTAAAGTGGGACCAAACCAGGGAAATATGGCAACTTTATACACACATATATTTGAAGTGTATAAACACTAAGGAAGAAGGGCATCTTCGGTAGTACATTTATGTACCTAGGAATTATGACATTTAAAAACAGAAAATTTAGGAAGGAAAGAATATTTTAAGTCACAAGGACCAGATGGTATTCACCCAAGAGTTCTGAAGGAACTCAAATGTGAAAATGCAGAACTACTAATTGTGGTACGTAACCAATCATTTAAATCAGCTTCTGTACCAGCTGACTGGAGGATAGCTAATGTGATGCCAATTTTTTTAAAAGGCTCTTGAGGTGATCCCGGCAATTACAAGCTGGTAAGCCTAACTTCAATACCAGGCAAATTATTTGAAATTATAGTAAAGAACAGAATGATCAGATACACAGATGAACATGATTTCTTGGGGTGAAGAGTCAACATGGTTTTTGTAAAAGGAAATTACGCCTCACCAATTTACTAGAATTCTTTGAGGGGGTCAACAAGCATGTGGACAAGAGGGGATCCAGGGGATGTAGTGTATTTAGATTTTCAGAAAGCCTTTGACAAGATCCCTCACCAAAGGCTCTTAAAAGTCACCAAAGGGGAAAGTCCTCTCATGGATCAGTAACTGGTTAAAAGATAGGAAACAAAGGGTAGGAATAAATGGTCAGTTTTCAGAATGGAGACAGATAAATACTGGTGTCCTCCAGGGGTCTGTACTGGGACCAATATTGTTCAACATATTCATAAATGATCTGGAAAAGGGGGTAAACAGTGAGGTGGCAAAATTTACAGATGATATAAAATTACTCAAGATAGTTAAGTCCCAAACAGACTCCAAAGAGTTACAAAAGGATCTCACAAACTGGGTGACTGGGCAAAAAATTGGAAGATGCAATTCAATGTTGATAAATGCAAAGTAAAGCACGCTAGAAAACATAATCCCAACTATACATATAAAATGATGGGGTCTAAATTAGCTATTACCACTCAAGAAAGATCTTGGAGTCATTGTGGATAGTTCTCTGAAATCATCCACTCAATGTGCAGCAGCAGTCAAAAAAGTGAATAGAATGTCAGAAATCATTGGGAAAGGGATAAGAAAACAGAAAATTTATTGCCGCCATATAAATCCATGGTACACCCACATCTTGAACACTCCATGCAGAACTAGTCACCCCATCTCTAAAAAGATATATTGGAATTGGAAAAGGTACAGAAAAGGGCAACAAAAGTGATTCGGGGTACGGAACAGCTTCTATAATGAGGAGAGATTAATAAGACTGGAACTTTTCAGCTTGGAAAAGAGACGACTAAAGGGGGATATGATAGAGGTCTATAAAATCATGACTGGTGTGGAGAAAGTAAATAAGGAAGTGTTATTTATTTATTTTCTCATAACACAAGAACTAAAGGTCACCAAACGAAATTAATAGGCAGCACGTTTAAAACAGACAAAAGAAAGTATTTCTTCACACAACGCACAGTCAATCTGTGGAACCCTTTGCCAGAGGATGTTCTGAAGGCCAAGACTATAACAGGGTTCAAAAAAGAGATAGATAAATTCATGGAGGATTGGTCCATCAACAGCTATTAGCCTGGATGGGCTGGGATGCACAACCATGCTCTGAAGTGTTCCCAGTCTCTATTTGCCAAAAGCTGCGAATGGGCAACAGGGGAAGGATCTCTTGATGATTACGTGTACTGTTCACTCCCTCTGAAGAACATGGCATTGGCCACTGTTGGAAGACAGGACACTGAGCTAGATGGACCATTGGTCAGACCCAGTATGGCCATTCTTATGTTCTCATTAACAAACAGAATAGTAAATTAACAAGACTATCATCAAGCTGACCAAGAGATCTTTTTAGACTGTGGAAAAATCTTCCAAAGAAAGTACTGTACTAAAAGATCTACAACTTGAGGTATTTAAAATGAAAAAAAACACAGACTAAAATACTTTTAGAAAAATCCTGCATTGGTAGAGGGCTGGAATAGATTTTTTCTGTCTTTCTAGTCTAGAACAGATTCTAATTAAAGGAATCCAAGTGATTAAAATGGCATCTCTATTCTTTAGCCATAATAAACTTGGTTTCATCTGAAAATCTTGGTATTTGATCGAGCACTATAATTCAATCAGTATGTTGCCAGGTAGCCTTTCTTGAAAATGGTAAGGAGTGGCTAAAATGAGAGGGGAACACAAAATTCACTCTGGGGAGTGCACTATGATTTCCCTCCCTCAAACCTCAGATGTGGTCTGATAACTTCCAAATTGCAGCTCCACTTCACTGTACTTTCCCCAAGCAGTGAAAATATTTCTGAGAGAACATTCTCCATTACAGATCACATACACTTATCATTAAAGGTTGTTAATTTATTTTATTGTTGAATGGGTACACACCTTGCCATCTTTAAAGCCATATACCACACAGCCCATTTGTAGCCGAGTACACTTGTATTTCCCATTAAATACTGCTCTTAAAATTGATCAACGGAGTTACTGCAGAACAATACAAAGAGTTTCCTTGGACAAGAGTCCAAGTGTTTCACCTCTCTAGTTCTTCCACTAGAATGCAGATGAGGATCTAATCCGAGTTTCAATAGAAGTAAGAACCTTGTTTTATACAACTTTTCTTATGTGCTTTAGGCCAGGTCTTCACTATAAACTTATGTCTGTATAACTATATCGCTATGGGGCGTGAAAAAGCCACACCACTGAACGCAGTTATTCCGACCTAAGCCCGGGTATACAGCGTGCTACGTCAATGGGAGGGCTTCCCCCATCGACACAACTACTGCCTCTTGCAGAGGTAGATTAACTACCCCGATGGGAGAAACTCTCCTGTCGGTATAGCAGCATCTTCATTGAAGTGCTGGAGTGGCACAGCTGAGCCGCTGCAGCGTTTTAAGTGTAGACCTGCCCTTAGCAGCGATTTGAATGGCTTACCGTTTTTTGCAAAAACCTAGAAGGGACACTGTGAAAAGTCATTGCAGAAGATTTTATTGTACTATAGTACAGATCCCTAAACAAGCCTCTTTTTTTCTTAACCTAAATCTGTATGACTCATTCTCCTGACCACAATAGAATTATAGAAATGTAGGGCTGGAAGGGACCTTGAGAGGTCATCTAATCCCCCTGCACTGAGGCAGGACCAAGTCTACCTAGATCATTTTTGACAGATGTTTATCTAACCTGTTCTTAAAAGCCTCTAATGACGAGGATTTCACAACCTCCCTTGGAAATCTATTCCAGAGCTTAACTATCCTTATAGTTAGAAAGTTTTCCCCCCAATACCTTACCTAGATCTCCCTTGCTGCAGATTAATCCAATTCATGGAGAACAATTTATAACGTGACCTTTATAATAGCCCTTAACATATACCAACATAGGATATGACCACAGAATCTGTCAGAATTGTGTTATCTTTGCAATTCATGTAAAATTAAAAACTTATGCTAAACTCAAAAAAATGCTCAATAATTCCATTAATTAGGCTCTAAGTGGCACATAATACATACATGGCTGCCTTTTTTTTTTCCCCTCTAAAAGAAGAAGGGAGGAAGACTAGGCTCTGAATTCTTACTGGCACTGTATGGTTTGCTGAAGATGTCCTCTCAATATGTCATCTCAGAATGATACATGCTGGGATTTCAGCTAAGTGTCAAAACTTTAAAAAACATTTTTTTTTTTAAAGCTAGGTTAAAACTATTACTGTGCTACTACTTTAGACTGGGCAAGGTGGAGGTCACTGGGGGTGGGGAGGAGACATCGC